AAAAAAAAAAAAAAAAATAGCCCATGGAGAGAAAAAACTGATTTAGGCAAAGATTTGTCTCTTGAGTCTTCAAACCAAAGACATCCCAAGAAAGATAAATAATAAGTTATTAAAACTCTCACATATTGGAAAAAGAAAAGATTTGGCAACAAAAGAGCAATTTTTATTTTGAAACCTAGAGGCAATCAATGACTACCACATCATCCCTAATACATCTGCTATGAATTAAAAACAAAAGCAAAAACACCCAACTTTTGGGCTTGTTGTCAAGATAAATCATAGTGATTAAATATTGTGTCTGAATATAGTGACAGTGACCTTTCACCCAGAGATAAATTAGTCAAAATAAATGAATCAAAAAATAAAAGGAAATCAAATATATAGCTATATAAGAAGTTATTTTGCCACAAGATATCAACTGCTTATCAAAGTGTCTGGCTCATATCTGACCGTTGATAAAAGCAACTTAACTTATGTATATTGTATGATATCAAGGAAAGATACAAATATGTATTGAATACCTACACTACTTGGTGTTTTCAAATTCCACTTCTCATTTAATATTCATAACAACCAGGTGTTGTATTTATTATTATTTACATTTTACAGGATGGGGAAACTGACGCTCAGAAAGATTAATAAACTTTGTTTCTTATTAAATAGCTTAGGCAAGATTATACTTAGAACTGTCTGAAGCTAACACTTTTTAGTACAATAAAATCCTTAATATAAATGCTACAATTCAGTAAAAGTAGAAATCTAATTCTTTGATATCTATTTTAATAAAACAGACAAAATTAATAATGTAAAGAGTATTATTCACGAAATACTGAAACTTATTAAAAAATTTCTGTATGTTGGAAAACTATCCTCAGGAAATAATACAGAATACAGAAACAGCTTTATGCTTAAAAATACTTATAATGAGATTATTTTTAGTAGCACCAAAAAAGGAGTGAAAAGTTAAATAAATTATGTAATCATGCAGTCATGACACCTTTCATACTTTACTTTCCAAGTTCTTTATAGTGAGTTTATATTAATTGAAAAACAAGTAAAAACCAAAAAAAACTTCTCAACAACTCATTTATATAAATAATTGCTAAAGTGATCATAAATTTTATCTATTTATTACCACAGATTTCACATGGACACCTAAGACAATACTTCTTTAGCTTAGGTTCTATCCCGTATTTGAATACAAGAAATGCACATTTAAAAAACAGCACACACTCATAATTCAGATATCTCCCTGGTCCAAACAGGCCTCCTCCTCGCTAGTAAACAATTGTTACAAAAGGAAATAAAGTGAACTAAATGAATCAGTGTTGCTTTCCAAGCTGAAGAAAAATCTTTCTGCTATGATTACTTGGTGCCTTTGGGTTTCAATTTCTTTACTTCCTCCTCTAGTTTCTCTTTTTTCGGCTTTTTTATTTCTCTTGGAATGATGTCATCAAAAGGATTAAACAAAACCTACGAAAAGAAATATTTTGAAAACATTACTCCATATTTTAAATTTCAAGAAAAATTAAAGCCAATATTTAACTGTGTTGGCTTTAGTGTCTATTTTTTCCTCACATGACCATCATTAAGTAAAGTGATACATGTACCACAAAAAGTGCTTCCACTTACACATGGCCTCATTGGAGTCTCCCAATAATCCTATGTGCTATTAAGTAAAGGATACTTTATCCCTATTTTACAAAAGGGAAAAATATTTAAGAAAACTTAATACATAGTAAGAGAGACAAACTCAGGTGTTTTGACTCCAAATCAAATGCTCTTAAGGACCTTGCTTCCTCAATGAAGGATCACTCTTAAATTACCTAGCAAGTCACTTCATTGGGCTAAATAAACCAAATTCCTCTAACTTTCCATTATGAGTCAAGCTTTTCATTCATTGGACTATCAGCTAAAGTTTCATCTTTGAATTCAAAACTTTCAATAAAAAAAAATTCTTAATTAGAAATTGTACATAAATTACAGAGATAAAATCTGAGTTGTGATGTTACTTTAGTATAAAGCCTTCATCCAGTACTTTAAAAATACTAATAATCAATTTCTCTTAAATCACAATTTAAGTGCTGTATCTCATAATAATCATGCTCCTACCTCACAACTTTTTATTTTGTGTGGATTACGTGGTCTTTCTTCATCATCAATGTCTACTTCTGTCAGTCTCAGCATGTTATATACTGTATCCCCTGTAACCTATCAAATAAAAAAGAAAATTTAAATGCAAATTATTACATTCATTTTTTGTAATAAGGGAGGACTTTGGAAAATATTTTTTAAATAATTAAAAGGGAATTTCATATTGTTACAGAAGAGCAGATGCATTAAATAATGCAAATAACTTGCAACTTCAAGATGAAATGCAACTTCATCTTAAGGGGACAAAGCACAGATGGAGTTCAATCCCTCAGTAAGATTTTTGGGAAACTTCCAATATATACTTAATATCAGTTTTTATTAAAAATAAAAATATAAAGCCAAATAACCTCCTGCTGAATGACAACTTTTCATTCAAACATCATAAACAAATTTAGACTTTAGAGTAGAATTACCAAATAACAATAACAATGTGGTTAATGCTTTGCAGATATTATCTCACTTAACTCTTACAAGCATCCTAAAAAGTAGGAACTACCATTATCCTCCTTCTCTAGATAAGAAAATTGAGGTTCAAAGAAGTTACAGACCCAAAAGCAACAGCCTTTCTCACTTCTAACCACGATGCTATACTTTGTCTCTAATGTGTAAGTTACATAATATCAACCAAACAATGGTGCAGAATGGCAACCTAAATCTAATTTTATTATACACTTATATTTTTAAAAAATAATAGGAAGGAAAATCTATGAACATCAGAGAACCTGTGTCAGAGTGGCTCATGTGCCGATGCATGTTTCTTAACCCATGTTGTTAAATTTTAAGCAACAATATTGTACTGCATGTTTTTAGTGTGATGTCTTTCATTCAACATTTCTCAAGAATTTTAAAATAATATGAATTTTCCAGTCATGCTAAGTTTGTTTTTTCCCTTTCACCATCACAAAATCCAGTTTTGCCTAGGATACGGGAAAACCATTCTTACTGAACCAGCAGAGGGAGCTGATATGCTAGTGATGTCTAACATGCCTAAGACTTAAAACATATGGGAATATATTTATGAGAAAGGAGAAGGGTGAGAAAAGAAAACCTTCAGAATCCCTTTATAAAGAAAACTGCTGAAAATTCTATAGAAATGGCATTCCCTGATATCATGTTAAACGTGAGCAGGATAAACAGGTACTATTCAAAGTAATATTTCAGTAAAAAGTATTAATGTTAATACAATTTCCAGCTTAAACTTAAGGGAATTCATCATTAACAAAATAAACTTTAAACCACTAAATGTTATTACCTAGGTGTCTTTCTAAAAACATAAGAACAACATCAGCTGAGTAACATAGTAGCTAAGACCATTAGTATAACTTTAGGAAAAGAACTTTAAAGTCATAACCAATGACTTATTTGAAACACAAACAAAAAATTCAGGTGGTCCCTCATAGTTCATTATAACAGGAATATACTCCATTATTTTTAGAAATAATAAATATATATCCTAGGGAATATTTTTATGAAGGCAGCTCTTAGATAAGTTGATCATATGTATCATAGAAGCTTAAGATAACTGGACACGAACCTTTCCAAAGATGGTGTGCTTATTGTTAAGTTCATCTGCTCGACCCAGTGTAAAGAAAAACTGGCTGCCATTATCATGAGGACCAGCATTTGCCATGGCAACCAGTCCTCTCCGATTAAAACGCAACCGTGAATGGAATTCATCCTGGAGCATAAAAAAGAAAAGATTTGAGAATTTTTTACAACTATTCCACATTTTCTAAGGCCATTATCATCTGGAAATTAAAGCAAACAGTTCAAGTATTTTTCTCAAGAATCATACAGTGACCCAGTAAAAAATTAAAGGAAACTCCAGACACACTATCCCACTGGTATAAACATGAAGTCTTCAAAAACTTCAAAATCCCATATTTTAAGAGCTACTGATGTTTACTCATTCAAAGAACAAGATATTGGTACTATCAGATTAATAAATAATCCAACGTTTAGCTTTTACTTGAACCTACTGCTATTCTTAATATCTTAACCATGACATTAACTCTTTTTTCTTTTTAGATCTATGTTGGCAGCTAACAAATCACTGACCTATTCTTAATTAATACTCACACCTTTTTCAAATATTTTTTATGTTCCTTCTTTCTTCTGTTCCCCTTGTGATTTCCTGTTATGACATGCATTTTGTGTTATAGAGGTCTACTATGTACAATTTAGAATGAATTCTGCTATGGACTGAATTGTGTCCCCACAAAATTCATATGTTGAAGCGCTAACCCCCAACGTGGCTGTATTGGTGGAGATAGGGTCTGTAAGGAGATGACAAGAGTTAAACAAGGTCATAAGGATGAATCCTAATCCAATAGGGCTGGTGCCCTTGTAAGAAGAGGAAGAGACACCAGGGCTCTTTCTCTCTCCACCATGTGAAGACACAGGGAGACGGCAGCCACCTGCAAGCCAGAAAAGAACCTTCACCAGGAACTGTATGCCAGCACCTTGATCTTGGACTTCTTAGCCTCCAAAACTGTGAGAAATAAATTCCTTTGTTTAATCCACCCAGTCAGTGGTATTTTGTTAAGTGGTCCAAGCAGATTAATACAAATTCCATAGAGTGTTAAATAAAATGTTTTAATAGAGGATGGCATATGCAATATTCTAAAAACATTTTATATTTACAGAGTTGCAGAGATCAGATAAAGTCAGATGTCAGGAAATATATAATCTTTTTTCCAACTCACATTTTCCTCACTACCATCTTTAGCTCCACCTGAATTCAATCTAGCATACAGGATTGCAATAAGACAATTTAGAAAGAATGCTTGATAGTGTAAGTGCTGCTCTTATACTTGTATAATCCTAAATACGTGATGACATCTGATTTTGTGCACTAATGTGAAATGCATTTTCTTCTTGTGGGGCACAATCATTTTTGATTAAGCAACCCAAGCTGACTTGCAAAAAAAAAAAATAATAATAATAATAATTCAGTCTCACCTTGAATGGGGCTCCGTAGATAGACTCTCCACCAGTCCCTGTGCCAGTGGGATCTCCCCCTTGGACTATAAAACCAGGTACAACTCTATGAAAAATGGTGTTGTCATAATATGCTGAAAAAAAATTAAAAACAATTTATCATGGTCTAAAACAAAGTGTATTTACATTATCAGAGTTAATAAAACTAGAGTTACAATTTTTTTTCCCCTAGAATGTTAAATAGCATCCTAAACCAAAACCTTTTCTTCCCTACTTATAAAATATCTGTGTACTCAAAACAGCACAACTTCTATAGAAACAATGGTGGTGGTTGTTTTGTATTTATTTCCAGGGTTCTCTCAAATTCTGGATTACAGTTTTCAAAATAAAAATTAGAGAATTTTGGTATAGATCGGTGGTTCTCAACTGGGGAGAAGAGGAGCAGCAATTTTGTTCCCTAGGGGACATTTGTCAATTGTCTGGAAATATTTGGTTGTCACATATGGGAGATGCTACTGGCATCTAGTGGGTAGAGGCCAGGGATACTGGTAAACATCCTACAAAGCACAGGATGGCCCTCACAATGAAGAATTACTGGCCCAAAATGTCAACAGTGTTGAGGTTGAGAAACTCTGCTAGAGATGAACACCTTATTTCCTAATTCTTCCTCTTCTCCCTCCAAAAACTTAATTTACATAAACAATATACAAACCCAAAATATATCAAAATTCCTCACTGATTATAGGTCTAACACCATAAATGCACTCTCCTCAAGAAACATTCAATAAATAAAATAAATAACACAATATACAACTCTCAAGAAGTTTGCTAAATTATTAAAATTATTTATATTTATACATAAAGATATTATTTGGAAGCTATAAACATAGAAGAGACATCATATATGATCTCCTAATAGTACTTATTATCTGGAACCTAGAATCATAAGGGAGACTTCACAGAGGAGAAAGAAGCTGGGCATGGCAGAAGCATGGCATCTCAGTGAGGTAAAGCATGAGCAAAGAATCTGGTGAGGGTGGAAGGGCAAGAATGAGAGTTGGACTGAATCACAGAGTCTATATTAAGAAGTAGCAACGACAGCCAAAACGCATAAGAGAAGATTCTCAATATCATTAGTCATAGGGAAACACAAATTGAAGCCACAGTGAAATACCACTCACCCCCACTAGGATGGCTATCATCAAAAAAATGGAAAATAACAAGTGTTAGTGAGGAGGGAGAAACTGGAACCCTCGTACATTACTAGCTGGACTGCAAAATGGTACAGTCACTGTGGAAAAGGATTTGGTGGTTCTATAAAAATTTAAACATGGAATTATCTATCAATTTCACTTCTACATATATACCCCCCAAATTGAAAACAGGTACTAAACAACAGTTATACATGAATGTTCATGGCAGCACTATTCACAATAGCTAAAAGGTGAAGATAACTCAACTGTCCAGCAATGAATAAAAGGATAAACAAAATGTGGTACAAACATACAATGGAATACATATTACTCAGCCAAAAAAGGGAATGAAGTACTGATACACACTACAACACAGACGAACCTCAAAAACATGCTAAGTGAGAGAAGTCAGACACAAAAAGTCACATATTGCATGATTCCATTTATATGAAATATCCAGAATAGGTAAATCCATAGAGGCAGAAAATAGATTGCTGGTTGCCAGAGGCTGATGTGAGGGGAGAATTGGGAGTGACTGTTTAGTGGGTGGTTTTCTTTTGGGGTGATAAAAATAGTTTTGGAACTAGACAGAGGTGCTGGTTGCACAATCACAGCGAATATACTAAATACCACTGGATCATACACTTTAAAATAGTTTTATCTTATATAAATTTCACCTCAGTTTTATTAAAAAAAAAATCCCTCGAGTGAAAGGAAAGTAATTATTTTATCTCACTGAAGCTAATTTTGAACTTACGTTAATTAGTCAGGTAAGTACAAGAGGAAAATATTTGTAGCATATATGTCTAGCGCTGAAGAAAGTGCTGAATAAACACAAGCTATTATTATTGTTGTTGTAAAAACAAACAAACAAACAAAAAGCAAGTAGCAACAGAGTAGGTTGAGGTGGGGTCAATTATTGAGTGGAGTCTTAATTCAATCACACACTGAGGATTGAGCAGAAAAATAGAAAGAGAATAATTCCCTGAAGGCTTCGCTGAGCTGCAGAACTGCCTAACACCAGATTTCTTGTCATACAGGATGATAAATGTCTTTATTATCTAAGTAATTTTGAGTCGAGTCTTCTATTACTTGCAACTGAACACTAGAAATACTCATCAAGTGCCTACTGTGGGCAGCATTGTACTGATACAATTACTGACATAATTCATAAAGTACCTATTACACAGGTACTTTGTGACACTTTATGAGTCAAAACATGACTATGGTTTATCATAATTCATAACGTACTATAATATAGTGGCTTGCAGGCACCCTCATAATTATTTACATTTGCAAGATATAACTAGATATAAAATCCATATTTTAAAAAAATATAATCTGTAATCTAACAACTGTATCCAGTACATAGGATGGATTGGAAGAAGTAGAAAGGAAGACCAATTGATTTTTTCCAATCTCTTCTCCCAGTGATGAGCTGTAAGGCTATATTCACAAGAGCTCCCCAGTGCAGACAAGTTCTCCTTGGTTACAAATGGAAACTGTAAAAACCAAGAGGTCTAAAAGTCTCTCTCCTGTAGCCCTAAGTAACCATTTACTTAGATTAACCATTACTCAGTAACCATTCCTCAGACTGTATCTAGCAGTCAGTAGTTCTGAGTCTTGCCTCTTGTTAGCTGTGCAACCTTAAACTCAATTTTCGTTTTTTTTTTAATTGAGATATAATTGACATATAACATTACATTGGTTTCAAACTATAATGATTTGATATTTGTATATGATATTTATATATAGTGTGAAATGATCACAAGTCTAGTTAATATCCCTCATCAAACATAGTTACAAAATTTTTTTTCTTGTGATGAGAACTTTTAAGATCTACTCTTAGCAACTTCCAAATACGCAATATAGTATTATTAACTATAGTCACTGACCTGTATAAGCAATTTTCTCATTATAAAATTAATAATATAAATTAACTCAGTATTGTTTTGAAGATTAAATAAGATAATGTGGAGGCAACCTATAAATTTTCAAGTTCAACACAAATGTGAGGTCAAACTCTAATATTTTCACTTAAATTCTACAAATTCATATTCAAATTTGAATATAACACATACACCAGTCTACATCAGAAAATGAAAATAATCCTTTAGGCCCATAATATGCAGTCAATCAACATTTTTTGAGCACGTGATCAGATCTGCTTATTCAAAAGATCACTCAAACTCCATTATACAGAACGGATTAGAAGCCACACGACTGGAGAGGGAGAAAGAGAGAGAGAAAAAACTGTTGTCCCAAGAGTCAAAACACAACTGTGTCTTATCTTGAGACACACAGATTAAAGAATTCTCTAGGAAGCAGGATCTATAAGACTAAGAGAGCTATTAAATGTGAGGGAAGGGAGACATGAAAGAGGTCTTTATTACTTGTGCTTTCAAACTGTAGAATTACCTATCATTTCTTTTTTATATTTCCTGTTAAGTCTTTTAGTGATGTTGACTTTTTACTTTAAGCTTTTCTTTTTTATTTTCCTAATTATATTCTTGTTGGGTGAATGAAACTATTATAATACTACAGAGAGTAGGAATTTTCTATAATTTCTCTACACTATAATTTTGTATTCTATCATGGATAGAATTTCAAATTTCCACAAAATTTCCATATCCACTATTTCTACTTCCTTGAAATTTATTAATTACTGTTGAACTATGCATTTATAGTTGTCTTTATAGCTTACAATGTGCTATCATAGATTTTGCTGCTTGCAATAATGTTCATCTTTCTTAAATTTTTGTGTATCATTCTCATAAATATTTTGAAGAGCTTTTATTATTTGGATATATGTGTTCATAACATCCTCCTGAATTTTCTCCACTATTGAAAAAAGAAATTTACATATATCTCAAATATGAAATGAAGTTCCTATTTGGCTGCTGTGGTTCTGGTATTTATCATTACAGTTTTTATTTCTGGCTGTACAATCTATGGGTATCATGACATATTTTTGACTAATTATATTTCTGCCCAAGAACATATAGGAATTTATATTTGCATTTTTAAATCATTTATATGGATTTCTTCTTCTAGAATCTTGTGATTTTTGTGTTTAATTTTGTAAATATTATCATTAATAACTTTTTACTTAAAACTCTTTTTGTGATCTGTCTGTCCCACTTATTTTAGCCTCCCTACTTTCTTTTAAGCAAATATTTTAGTTTTGTAAAGATACTTCTTTTAACCTCTTAATATATACTTATCACTTTATAAGTTTGTCACTTCTAAAGACTTATTAAACTATTGTTAAAGGAAGTGGGGGATAAAAGATGACTGATGAAGCATGGACACTGAAGAGACAAAGCTGAGGTAAAACAGCAATAAAGAGATTAATAATCACATAAACTATAAAAAAATCTAATTTTCTTATCTACTTCTCTTTCTGCTCCCCACTTCGTTTTGCAGACCTAAAATTTTACTCCTTCCTCATACTTCAGAGGAACTAATAAAATTATCAAAGCTAACAAGCTTCCTTTTCCTTCTCTTATATATTTTTTAACCTACTTTTTAAACTTACAATTTTTTAAACTTTTCACTCATTTTCAACTGTTCACCTAACTATCCTGCAAAGACTTGAAAGCCAAGATTAAGTCTGTGTAATTGTAGATCTTTTTGGAAAAACTAAAAACTTCCCCCAGACACAGAGAGACAAATACTGTATGATCTCACTTATATGTATAATCTAAAGAAGTTGAACTCATAGAACCAGAGAGTGGAATGGTGGTTTGCAGGGGGTAGGCGGGGAATGGGGAGATGTTGGTCAAAAGGTGTAAATTTTCAATTGTAAGATGAATAAGTTCTGGGGATCCAACATATAGCATGGTGATTATAGTTGAGTTGATAATACTCTATTGTATACTTGAAATTTGCTGAGAGTAGATCTCAAGTCTTCTCAACACACATACACACAATAGGTAACTATGTAAAGTGATGGATATGTTACTTAACTTGATTGTGATAATCATTCACAATGTATATGTATATTAAATGACATTGTACACCTTTAAAAAAATCATGTTGTAGGGGCTGGCCCCATGGCCTAGTGGTTAAGTTCTGCATGCTCTGCTTCAGCAGCCTGGGTTCAGTTCCCAGGCACAGACCTACACCACTCAGTGGTGGCCATGTTGTGGCAGCAACTCACAGACAAAATAGAGGAAGACTGGCAACGGATGTTAGCTCAAGGCAAATCCTCCTCAGCAAAAAAAAAAAAAAAAAAAAAACCTCATGTTGTACAATTTAAATACATACAATTTTTATTTGTCAATCACACCTCAACAAAGCTGAAAAAAAAGACTAAGAACTTCTCTTTAACTGTGAACGTCATTTTAGTTGAAAACCATATCTGAGGCTGTGCTCGCACTGCCTTATTTTTATTCATTTGCTTTTTAATTCTGGAAACCATGCCTTTAAAAAAATAAATACTTGATATTAATGTTACAAAATCTAGAAATAACATGACTTGTTGAAAATCATAGAATCAGAGATAAAATGGGGTTCTCTGAATTATACTTTTAAAACCTTGACTTTATTCATTTAGGAGTATCTTTATTTAAATTAGTCTTCTCAGGCTTCTTGTTAGCCTTTGCAATAATACTACTCTCTATCACCTGTTCAATTAAGAGAATTGCTGTAGATATTTTTCTCATTATTTTCCTATTTTTTTCTTTCTCCTTGTATTCTTATAAATAGAGGAATAGTTTTTTGTTGTTGTAATTAAGTTTCATCATCATCTAACTTAAGAACCTTATTTCTTCTTCATTGTCATATTATATCCAGATGTTTTCTGTTTCTTCCATTCACCTGGTCATGGATTGTAATTTACCATTCATTCTTTCTAATGTTTTTGTACTTTTACTCATCTCTTGTAAAATGTGAGCTTTTGATTCTTCTAAACTTCTTTCCAGAAACAAGTCTGACTTTTCTGTGTCTACTGTGTTTCTCAGCTCTGTTGACAGTTATCTGAGGCTTCTCTGACTGAACTACCTGTCTGACTCAATTTCCTTCCTGCCTGTCTTAGCAATTATCATAATGGTCTCTGCAGATATCTTTTCTCTTTTTCTTTTTTGGCAAGTTTTTTCTTTTTTTGGTCGGGTATTTTTATTTTTTAAATTGTCCCCTGGTAATTATCTATTTGGAGAGCTCTCACTGTACCCTATACCGGTTATTTTGGATTCTCTTTCACATCCTGCTTTTGATTCGAAACGCTGTTTTCTGATACCTTGATTGACCTTTTCTGTCTCTAAACACCAGATATAATTGAAAGACAATGATTTGCCACCACTGGAGATATTCAAAACCATACGCAACATGTTCTAAAAGCCAGCAAGTTACAAAAATGTTTGGAATGTTTAGTTCTATAAAGGAATATTCTGAAGGGGAAACACTCAAGTGTTTGATTCAAGACGTATGATTTTGTAAAGTTTGTTAAAAAGAAAAACAATCACTTTATGACTCAAATCTAAAAAAATACTAGAGACATTGAAAATAACATCACTGAATGCTGGATGGAACCCTTTGTGGAGAAAGCTGAATTTTGGACAGACATTAAAAAGTGGGTAGACTTGAAGAGTTAAGAAGGGAAGAGAAAATATTCCAAAAAAGAGCCTGAGGATATGAGGAGATTGAGGATAAGAAGAAGTTATGAGGATATGTGTTCAAGTAGAAATGAGAAGGAAGTGCTTATGAGATAAAGATAACAGTCAACTGAAACCATGTGGTTATTTAGTGCAATGAAAAATAAGTCGGAAAGCTAGGGAGCCAAGCTGCCTGTGGATTCAACTACCAGATGAATAAAGAAGATAAAGATGAGGGAGAGGAAGACCAGCTAAAAAGCAGCTACAATCATGTAGGTGAAAATCAAGGAAGTCTGGGGAGGAAACTGGTAAATTTGGTTTTACATTGCTTTTTTACAGGATTCCTGTAGAAAAGTCCACTAGGCAATTGGATATGTAAATCAGAGCTAAGAAGAGAAGAAATGGCTGGAATTCTAAATTTGATAGTCATTTGGATGGAAGTAACAACTGAAGAGTAAAGACAATAGATAACTAGAGGCAATCTTAGGCAATACCCATATTTAGAGGATGAAAGAAAGAAATGGAAAATAGCCAAGGAGACCAAAAAGGACCAAAGTATTATTTGGTGAGATACATTTCTCTGTTAAAGATAAAGAGATTTATTTAGGGGAAAATTCTTATCTCCTCTGTCCATTTCCTGACACATACTTCAACACCACATCACTCATATCAACTCCTATCATTCATTACCACTCTTTAACACTCATCTTCAACCTTGTGGAAAAATACACTGCAGGCCATTTTTAAATTAACAAAATTTCTCCTACAGAATAAAACTCAAGAGTTATGATTACCTTCCAAACAAAGTTGAATGAAATTTCTGCAAGCTTTAGGAGCTTCTTTTGACCACAACTCTATATCAATATCTCCAGCTGTAGTTTTCAATAAAACCTGTAGAAAAAATATAGCATCATTATATTAAATTACCATTTTGCTTGATAAACAGTTGAATGGCTGCACAACTTGAAGCATTCGCTAATGAGTTTTCAATTTTAAAATAAAAATTAGAGGGGCCAGCTAGTGGTTAAATTCGGTGCCCTCTACTTGGTCAGCCCGGGTTCAGTTCCCAGGCGTGGACCTACATCACTCATTGGCAACCCACATACAAAAAAGAGGAAGACTGGCATAGGTATTAGCTCAGGGCGAATCTTCCTCAAGCAAAAAGAGGAAGATTGGCATAGGTATTAGCTCAGGGCGAATCTTCCTCAAGCAAAAAGAGGAAGATTGGCAATGGATGTTAGCTCAGAGTGAATCTTCCTCTTTAATAATCTTCCTCCTTAATAAATAAGGAATCTTCCTTCCTTATTTATTAAATAAATAAATAAATAAAATAAAAATTGGAAACTTTGCTTGGCTTTTGTTGTTATAGTCAAAAAATTCAAATATTCAGTACAAGTCATATATTTATATCATTCAAATATCATTTTCAGAAATAATTTAGGATTTAAAAAATAGCATATACCTTTCTAATCACAAAAAAACTCATTCATTTAAAAATCAATAATTTAAACTTGTTTTAATTATGAAAGTTTCCCCTGGCGTTTCTTCCAAAAAATTGGTATAGCAAATTAAGAAATTAAAGAATGATAAGCCATGAAATTGTGACACTATAAAACAATTTTACAATTACCCTTTTACATATAAATCCTCTACTTTCTCATTCAAAATCATGCCATTCCTAATTTACAAAGGAACATCCTTAATCTAATTCTGGGTTGTATATTATAAAATGGTATGTCTTAAAATCACCATCTACAGTAAATGGAATTCTCTGATAGCCTCCTTTCTACCAGCTCATGAAGGCAGTTACTCCTTAGTGCAACCACCCATCTTAAAACAACCAGAACCCCTACTGAGCCCACAGGAGGAAACAGCTTACAGCTGTCTTATTAATAACCACAAACAACCAAAAAGAATGTTAGGCTCTAAATTTAAACACTGGCACACCTGGAGTCCAACTTCTCTAGTAACACTTTTTTCCCCTCAGTGTACCAAGTAGATCAGTGTCAATCAATGATCAATGGTCAATGATTTGTGACCATCACAATCATTTAGAATGCTCTTGCAAATGAAGAGTATGCAGTGTGACTATTTAAAAACATGAGACTGATTTTCATGAGAAGTCAGTATCATTGAAATAAGTCACACTTTTTATTTTCTAAAACTCCTTTACCTAATTTTTTGGAAGTGAAAAGAAGTTTAAAAATCATTCAGTTAAGCCCTCACCTTATATGGATGCCCCAGAGAAGTTGTAAATTGCCCAGAGTCAGAAAGCAAAGCAGGAATAGCATTTCTCTCTGCTCCCTCCTCATCCAGTGCACTTTTGCTACAATTGCCTTTCAACTTTTGTTTCAGAAGCCCAGATTATACTGCCATAATGTATATAACACATTAATGAATTTATTCTATCTTTTTAGTCTTTTACTGGCTACACAGTTCTCTTACCACTATTCTTCAATGACTAAGCATTGGTAGTTGTTACTGCCATTGAGTGGATTCCAATTCCTAGCGACCCTGTGGACAGCAAAGCAGAACCCTGCCCGGTCTTTTGCGCCACCCTCTCACCTTCCAGTGCTATCTCAGACAAAGCTCCACTGCTATTCATAGGGTTTTCATGGCCAATTTTTTGGAAGCAGGTGGCCAGATCCTTCTTCTTAGTCTGTCTAGTCTGGAAGCTCCACTGAAACCTGTCCACCATGGGCAACCCTGCTGGTATTTGAAATACTGGTGGCATAGCTTTCAGCATCACAGCAACATGCAGCCCCGACAGTATGACAACCAACAGACGGATGGTGTGGTTCCCAGACCAGGAATCGAAACTGGGCCTTGGCAGTGAGAGCTTTGAATTTTAACCACAAGACCACCAGGGCTGGCTAGTGGGGGAAGAAGAGGCGAAAATATTTATATTTGGGATGGAGGAGGTGAAAATATCTATATTGTGGTAGCTTTTAAAATGGTTTCCTTAACCATTAAAGAAATATAAAAGAACTAGAAATGCAAACGTGCATGATTTTCTCAATCCATTACGTTTCCTTTACAAAAAGAAGGGAACATTTGTTGAGTGCCTTCCATGTGTCAGCTTCTGTGCCAGACACTTTACATATCTTATCTCATTTAATCCTCACCTACAAAGTAGGTATCATTACTCCCATTCTACTTATAAAGAAACAGAGACTCTTATAGATAAAGTAACTTTATCTAAGGTCTCACAGCGAATGACTTAAGCCAAAGGCTGTCTGACTGCAAAGCCCATGTTTTTTCTATACCACCATACTGCCTTCACAAAGTTCTCCATAAATTCTGTACTATACTGGAAAAACAGTCCACCAAGCCCTGCCACATGTCTCAAAAGAAATCCCCAGGTTACCCTGGTCACAGCTGATTTGAATAGAGAACAGTGCCTAAGTCAAAGAAATCATATATTGGCTAGACATGAGCAAGGCATTCTAACTTGGCTTGGCATGAAACAATGCCCAAAAGAGATACTCCATATGGGATGGTGACAAATCAACCCAACTGCATTCTCGCTCTCCTGGGAAGTATACATCTGGGATGCAAACGGAGAGGCTAACTCCCTCTACCTCAGATTGTGTCTAGAACAGTGCTGTGTAACACCTTCTGATTTCCCATGAGACCTGATGTACATCCCAAGCTTACAAGTCCAGTATACCTAAAAGACAATGTCCTGTCCTACCTCATTATCCCCTTGTAAGTTTGAAATAAAGCACTACTGTTAAAGGGAACCTAGACACGTCTTCTCTTCCTTGCAACTCTAAAGCAGTGATCGCCAAACTTTTTGTAAGTGTGAATCCCTATTAACAAAGAAGAGAAGGGAGGCAAGGACTTAGAGCACACATTCCCAAAATATGCATATTTAAATACACGTGGTACTATATTACTTTAATATTATATTATAAAAGATCACACAAAATAAAAATTTTAAAGGATTACATAAAAACACTATTTTAAAATAATTCTATTTTCTTTACTAACAGTACAATGAACTTTTTTTATAACAGCTTTATTGAGATATAATTCACATACCAAACAATTTACCCTTTTAAAGTGGTTTTTAATATAATCCAGAGAGTTATGTAACCACCACCACCATCTAATTCCAGAACATTTCATCATCCCAAAAAGAAACCCTGTACCTATTGGCAGCCACTCCCTATTTCCTCCTACTCTTATTCCCTGGCAACCACTAATCTACTTTCTGTCTCTATGGATTTGCCTATTGAACATTTCATAAAAATGAAATCATACAACGTGTAGCCTTTTGTGGCTGGCTTCTTTCACTTAGCATAATTTTGCTTTCAAATTGTAGCGGTCCATCTTCCTGTTCTATACACTTAGTTTCTAAACGTCTTGAAAATCACAATGGCTTTATATTCTTACTGATAAATATGTTAAAGCACAATATACATTTAAGACAATGTTCACCGTTAACAATAATAAATAGAAATCCATATTTCAAAAGATTTACATAATAATTTCTAATTTTTGACAGACTTATGCTGAGGCATTAGCTCTACCATTTTCTTATGGTTTGCTTTTATTTACGTTATTAATATTATCTTCAATACGAAACTTGTGAGGGCTGGTTTAGTTAATCTAGATACCAAGAAATGTAAATCCACTTAGCAAAGAATTAGGAAAAAATACTTCATGATACATAAAAAGTGATTGAACGAGTAACTGAATTTATATGTTCCTTTTTACGTATAAAATATTGCATTTAAACAAATAAAGGAGAAAATAAATACAAACAGAAGTAACTGAATTTATATGTTCCTTTTTACGTATAAAATATTGCACTTAAACAAATAAAGGAGAAAATAAATGCAAACAGAAGTAAGTAGATTTTCTGCCTGCACCCCATGGATGGTTTTGCAGCCCTCTTAAGTGTGCACTCACTCATTTAGAAACCACTGTCCTAAAGAACAATCTACTGCACATCAGCCCTCCCTCTTCAGATTCTGGAGTCAGGCTGCCCAAAATCAAATACTGACCCTTCCACTTACGAAGGTAAGATTAGCTTCGTTACCTTGGGTGTGATATCTAACATTTCTGTGACTCAACTTCCTTATCTAAAAACAGGCATAAGCATATCCTCATAGGTTTGTTGCAAGGCCAAAATGAGTTATTATATATATATAGACCACTTAGAACAGTACCTGACAAATAGGAAATGCTCAAAAAATGGTAGCTAGTATTGTTGTAATTATTATTCTCATACAATGTTTTTGGCCACAGCAAACTTATATCCAGTAAAAAGAATGCATACATGGTTGGGCCACCTTGTTTACCAGGGTTTCTTAATCTTTCCACCAAGAAGCTACTGAATTAAAAAAGAAGGCACACAGCTCCCTCCTTTCACCATCATTACTTTGTCAGGCGTCGGTGGCTCCTTTTCTTAGAGCTCCCAAATAAGACAATACTTTGATAATAAAATGCTTCTTAAGAATAAACACATGTTAATATATAATTTAGATTAAATGATCATAATATGTGGAGATTTCATCTCCAGTGGATAAGGAAATTTCTATCAAGTGGTATATTTCTGTGCCTCATCTTCAGAGGCCAGAGTTATAGCATTACAGCAAAACACAGCACATTTATGGACAATTGCCAGGGGTCACTGGTATAATACGTCAATTACTTCCCAAGTTGACACTATACTCTTTGAAGGGAGGAATTTTGTCCCATTTATTCTGAATATCTCTGTATCCTTTCAGTACCTAATGTAGCATTAGACACCACAGGCACTAAACTAACATTCATTGAGCAAGCTTATTATATCTGCATTAAATTCATTCCAGGCCAAAATTCTTGCCATACTCTCTATAGTACAGAACTTTGAAGCTTCAATGTCTTCAATCACCCCTCAGCTGGAAAAAAGTCCCAAACTGTGCTTGAAGGAAAATTTGGCCTATGTTCTCCTTCAGCCCAATTCTGTTTAGAAGAAAGACTGTATTTATCACAGTTTGCATACACTTATTTGCATGATTATTCGGTCAATGTATACTTCACTCAACTGACTCCATGATAATAGAGACAATGCTGGTTTTTCTTTCCATTGTATCCCTAAAACCTAGCATAGATCCGCATGAGCTAGGCGCTCAATAAATACTTGTTGAACGAAAGATCTCCTGTTCAGGCATGTATCTTTGTTAAAGCTTTTTATCTTTATGACCACCTCAAATCTTCCTCCAGAGTAAAGCAACTAAGTCTGCCCTTGACCAGCAGCAGTATAACCCCAAACTCACTGATGTTTAATATTTCTCAGAAGTTAAGAGAAACATAGTATTAATTCATCCATTCATCCAGTACATATCTGAACTCCTTCTACTATGTATCAAGCACCCTTCTAGATGCTGGTCTCTGCCCTCACAGTACTTGCATTTTATGGGGGCAGGTGGAGGAGACAATAAACAATAAATAATAAGTACTGCAGAAAAAAACTAAAAGGGTTTAGGGAGCCAGGGAATGCTGGGATGCAGGAGATGAATGAGGTTTGCTATTTCATAGAAAGTAGATAGAAAAGGCCAGGGCCAGTCCCATGGCTTAGCTGTTAAGTGCGTGAGCTCTGCTGCTGGCAGCCGGGGTTTGGATCCCGGGCGCGTGCCGCTTGTCAGGCCATGCTGCGAAGGCATCCCACATAAAGTGGAGGAAGATGGGCACGGATGTTAGCCCAGGGCCAGTCTTCCTCAGCAAAAAGCGGAGGATTGGCATGGATGTTAGCTCAGGGCTGATCTTCCTCACAAAAAAAAAAAAAAAAAAGGAATTCAGGTGATATTCCTTCCACTACTTAGTTCTCTGCCTCATACTGCATATAAAACACCTGGGATGGGAATTGACATAGCTTGACTGTCAAATCAATCAGGAAATCATTCTACTATTCTAATGTGGGAACATTTCCCATTCCCCATTTTCTCTAACAATCATCTCATGTTTTAAGACCAGCTCAAAAGATACCTCCTCCATGAAGTTTTCCCTACTTTCCCAGCTGCTCACTTCTCCGTAATAGCACAGCAATGTGCTCCTCTCTCCATAAGCACACCTACCAGACATATCCTAAGGCTTTTCTTTACCTGCCTGCCTCCCAACTAAACCATAAGCTCTTCTAGGGCAACAACTAGACCATATCCATCTATATTTGTATCCCCAGAACCTAATAAGTGCCCGGTGCCTAGCTGGCGTTCAATAAACGGAGAAAGAGCCATCTCTAAGTTATGCGAAAAATGTCAAATTTTAATTTGTACTTAGGTTTTTACCTAAGACTCTAGAAAACGCCTGCATGAGTTAGGTTAAAGCAAGAAATAGGGCCAGAAGGCTGGTAGATGGAGAAATCAATCTTCCCTTGAGGACTTTTTCAAGTATATGCTGAGAAGTGCCAATAGATGGTTTCCAGGCAATCCTGTTCAGAAGCAGGGGTAAAAACAAGACTTCTTGTGATCTCTCACAACCCTAAGATCCCAGGACTCCCTTCGTCAGTGAGGTATCACTTTGGGGAGCCCAGGTATCCCAGACGAGGCTCTCACCTTCCCGTTGGTGGGAGGCTCCTGGATGTAGATGTTGCTCATGCTGGTCAGTCCTCAAGACTCTGCTCTCAATTGGGGATGAGAGCGGACGGCCGATCACTAAAGCTGTCCACCTATTAGTACAGGCTTCCTTAAGTCGGGTGGTCGCGGAAAGCTCCAGTCTGTCAATATCCCGCAAGACAGCGACGCCAAACGCTTTTTCCCTAAGCTAGCTCCTCACGGGCGCCGCCATGTTGCTCCCGGACCCGAGCACCGCTAACCCTGAGAAGGGGGATTCTGATAGCCTCCAAGAAAGGAGAAAAGATTATTAAGCCGCTGTAGATTAATTTAATTTCTATTACAATTTTAAAAAGAACGATCCGTTAAGTCTTGGTGTTGTTTACTTCACTACATGCGTGTGCAGGTCTCATTCACCTCCCGAAGCTGGCAGTAATGGTTCGGACCGTGAGTGATCTGCAATATGCGTCCCCCGGAAGCTGCATCAGTGGTTACTTGGTTCCGCTATCGCCAGAGAATTATAGGGGCCCCCCCGAACTGTCATCTAGGAGCCGCGGCGCGGGTGGGAGGAAGAGGCCGCCCTAGCTGTGCGTTGTCGTCGCGGCCGGCGGGAAGCGAGCGCGCTCTCGAAATCCTAGGGCTCCTGCGACCCCTTTTACAGCGCCATGGCAGTCCCAGGTGACGACCAACGGCAGGCCCCGGGGTCTGGGCGAGGAAGGGAGAGGGCAGGGTAGGATGGGGCGCGCTGGAACAGGGAGTGGCGCCCATGGGGATTTAAGCGGAGGCGTTAAAATTAACAGGTTCGTGTGGTTTACATGAAAAAGTTTACACTCCAGAAATAAACTCGGAAGGAAAGAAAGAAACGATCTCCCCTGCGCCAGCCAAGCTCCAGTTGCACTGGATGGCTTACGGGGCCGGTGCGTCGTGGCGGAGGGAGGGTGGCATGGGGAGGAGAGGGGGACGGTAACCGTAGGCCCAGGGGCCGGTGGCTGAGAAAGACCGGCCCCAGCGGCCAGAGGCATTGTGTGTAGTGCAAGTCGCAGGGACGAGATGGGCGCCTGGGGTTCTTCTCTCTCTTCTTGTTGCATTCAGTTGCTGTGTGGCCGTGGGCCGGTCGCTTTGCCCTCCTTGGCCTCAGTGTCTGCATCTGTAAACGGAGATTTGTTGATTTATGTCTCTGGTTCCTTCCAGCTCTCAGATTCTGGGTCCAGTCGGTACTGACCTAAAAACAGTGAACCCTGCGAAATAAGTGCCTGAGAGATTTCCCGTCCACAGCAACCGGCTTACTGGGAAGTTCTAGTAGGGGAGGGCATCTCCTTAAGCCAGCTTTGCGCGATGTGTTCTGCAGAACACTGGTTGCAGGAGATAGTTTGAGAAATATACACCCCCCTCATTTACTGCCCCCCCCCCACACACACACAACTTGGAGATTCGCAATGCACTTTGGTATAGAAAAGACTGAGAAGTGCTATGGTTAGAAGCCCTAATCTTGTTTTAACCTGCCCTTCCCGGTATTATTTGAGCATGTTTGTTCTGTGGCAGCCTTTTCTGAACCGTATTTTACAGGTAGCTGTTATGGGAGGGTTGTGCTTTTCTACCAACTGCAGTTTGGGGAGGAGCACGGGGGTGGGGGGGAATTGTGAGAGAGGAAAGACACACTCATTCATACACATAACAATCTGTGTTAAGTGCCTACTGTGTGCTAGGCATTGGGAATACAGTGGTGAGCAAGACACTTGCTCTTCACAGAGAATTTACAATTTAGCTGTAAGGAGAAAGTACTAGAAAGTCAGACAAATGTATGGTAGGGAAAATACAAAGCTTTCGGGAGCACATAGTAAGAGCATCTAACAGGAGACAGGGAGTGCACAGAAGGACTTTCCAAAGGATGTGGCATTTAGGATGAGACTTGAAGAATTGCAGGAGGGGTGGAGTGGTGGGAGGGGAAGTTGCAGCCAGAGGGACTAGATACATAAAGGAAGAGGAAATGTGTGAGAAGAGGAAATGAAGATGTTCCTATGCATGGAACTCAGAGTACAAATGGGAGAGAAGTGAGACATTAACTAGAGAGATGATAACAGTAGCTAATATTTACTAAACATTTACTGTGTCAGATCTGTCAGATACTGTGTCATGCATTGTATTTCATCTAGTTTAATATGCACACCCACACTGTGAGATAGATATTAATATTTCCATCTTACAGTGAGGATACTGAGCCTCAGAGAAATCAAGTAACTTGCCTATTGATACAGCTAGTAAGTAACAGATTAGTCTGGCTCCTCTAGACCCCACGTGCTTATCCATTTTCCCCTGTTATAGTGTCATTTACAAGGTAGTTTCCAGCTCTTAATGGACCTTGTAAGCCATAACAAAGAGCTTGGTCATTTTCCTAAGGACCAGGGGAAGTCATTTAAGGTTTTTAAACAGATTCACATTTTGGAAAGATCATTCTGGCTGCACAGTAGATTGGAGGGGAGCTAGTTTGGATGCACAGTCACCAGTTAGGAGTAATTCTGGTAAGTTACAATGATACCTCAGGTACAGTCTTTGGAAGAAAGAGAGAAGCAGATAGATTGGAGATATATTTTTGGTGGTAGAATCACTGGGAATCAGTGGTTGAGTCAATGTAGGTGAGTACTAGAGGAATGAGGTATTACCTGGGTTTCATTGTTAGGCAATTAGGTGGGGCTATTTACTAATATAGGCAACACCTGAGAAAGAGCAGATTTAGGGATGATGATGATTTCAGTTTGTGCCTTGTGTTGAGGTATAGTCAGACATACGAATGGAAATATCTAATAGACAATAAGGGATAAAATTTGTAGCTTAGGAAAGAAGCCCGAGTCAAAGAACAATTTGGTGTCATCCACACATATAATAGGAGTTAAGTCCATGGGAGTGGATGCCTTTGCTCAGGTAAAGTGTGTAAAGGGTGAAGGGAAGGTCTGTGGCTGAAGCCTGGAGAATATCAACATGGAAACGGCCAGCAGGGAAAGGCCAGTCTGCACAGTAGATTGCCAGATCAGCCCTGGTGATCTTTGCCTCACACAGCTGCGTCCGAAGTTGACCTGCTGTCACTGTTGGTTTCATGACTTGAGCATTTTGAGCACCTACATGGTATAGGCACTTTCGGGGACACAATGTCACGGTCTGTGCCCTCATAAAACTTGTCTACTAATGAAAATGTGCTGCTTAAGAAAAAGGACAAAAGTGATTTTTTTTAAGTCCTTATTGAAATTCCCTTAAGCTTAGACCAGTGTTATAGTTAACTTTCTTTCCATTCAAAATAATGCTTCAAAGTATAATAATATTAAATTGTGCCATTAAGCTAGATGGCAAGACATAGATAAACTGTTTAAACCCAGCAAAAATTGAGATAGTAGGTATGACAGCACTGTAAAATTACAATGCGAGTGCCATTAGAAAATATAGATACGGAAAATGTCAAGACAATTTCTTGAATGATCGATCCAGACAGTGTATTAAAGGAAAATGGGGCTCCATCAGAAACATTTTGAGATAATCATCAAAAAGGACAAGTATTATGTTATGCTCTTTTATTTTTAGGTATAATGCTCATATGGATTCATCATGGCATTTCGTAGGTGGTCCTGCTGGTGATTATTAAAAGGAACAACTGTAAAGTAATGAGGCTGCTTTCCACAAATGGGAATCAGCCTTGTCTGTTTTATGGTCACCTACTTCAGCTGTTTTTGCACAGAATTGTGTGTCAGCTTGCACCATTATGTAGGTAACACAACGAAATGTGTGTTCTCTTAGAGAAATCAGAGACTCTTAGTGTTATTAAAGAAATGACGTCTAAACACAGATTTCAGCGAACTTTAGTTTCCTTTAAATACTGCTTTTCCCATTCACAACTGTTGAAATTAGTTCTGACATTCATGTTAATGATTCACCATTCCCCATCAAGAGTTGACCTGGCACAGGTGGCAATGGATGTTACTGATGGCGCAAAAACTGTTTTTCTCTCCTTCAGTGAAATCTATATAGCCAAGAAAGGGAATTTTCTACAGCCAAATTAACATTGCATCTGACATATCAAAGTGAGTCATATTCTTAAAACACATTACTACAGCATCTTAGTAATCGAAGAATTCTAAATTACACTACATCCATTTTACTCCTAAACTATACTATACATAATTTCTTTTCTCTCTAGTCTATGCTGTACGTTGCTGCTGAAATAATTTTCCTAAATCATGTTTCTGATTCCTGAGAGGCAGGAACTTAGTTCTTGACCCATATCTGTGAATTTTGTATTTCTCTTCAACCGGCATAACCTTTCTGAGACTCAGTTTCCTTGTCTCTGTAGTGAAGGAGTTGATGACTTAGCTTTCTTTCACTTCTAACCTTCACTTCTAAGCTCCACATCTCTGCAAGAATGAAGTGCACCCTCCTAGGCATGGCCTCATCGCTCTTGCTACCCTTTCCTCCTGCCACTTTTCTCGTGCATTCTACAATCTTTTGAATTGGCCAGCTATGCCCAGAACCTGTCCTGTGCTTTTCTACCTACGCTCTTTTGTTATCACTGTCCCTCCTCTACTGTTCGTATCCGACTGTGGGAAGCTTTCCTGATCTCTTAGCTGAAAGTCTTGCCTGCCAGTTCTTCCTGCTTATTAACAGGGCCATGTGTCTTTTATACAGGCACATTCGAGCATGTTTCACAGCTGTGGGTGCATATACTAGATAACCTAGTATATTGTAGTTTCCTTTAGTGTAGGAACTTTAATTTATTCATCTTTATGGCTTCTCTAACATCCATTTCAGAGTTATGCCCATAATCAGTAAGTAATATTAAGAAGCTTGATCGCTAGAATAGCTGCTGAGCAGAATCTGGTACTAAAGTAAACAGACTAAACTAGATAGCCATCTTGATTCTGTTTATTAGATAATAAAATTAAACTTATCCATGTCTCTTCTTATTTTAAACTGGTGACACCTATAGTTTTTTTCTTCACAAGTTATTTGTATTTAGTGAGGCAAGTGGACGAAAGCATTTTATACATTTACTAAAATGTTAACTCTTTTATGTCAGTAGTTTAAGATAAACAACTCTTTGATTCATTTTTATCTCACCTTTTGAGGGTCGAATGATTATGAAGGCATTTTTAACTGAAGGTGAGGACAGCTTCTCTTTCAAAACATTTGCATCAAGGAACTCAGTTAACCTGTTTTTGTAATTCCCAAAGAATTATTAATTTCTGCTGTTCTTTTTACTTTGCCTTCAGTACAATATTTGGGGATCCCAAAAAAAGGATTATATCTATCAATTCTTAATATAAAGCAGTAGAAAAGTTTAACTACTTGGAGTTTTACTTTGCATTCAACTTTAGCAGAACACATACATGTTATATAGATATTAGCACCTATGTGGTGTAAAATCTGGCCACAGTTTGAATTTTAAAAGCAGAAAAAAATTGAAGTTATCTTTAAAGATCCCCAAGTTATCATAACTAGAACTATAATGGAGTAACCAAATGTAAAACTTAGTGTTACAAAACAGAAAAGGAATCTAATCTAATTGAATCAAATCAAATTAAAAATGAAAAGAATGGACAGAGGTGATTGCAATTAGCAATTTTACTAGTAATTAGCAAATTACTTAATACAAAGAAAACTTCGTTACTTAAGCTGTTTGCTTTTAAATTTAAATG